TAACTTTAGTATATATATGTAACGATCTTAGGAATAAGTTTAGTTGATAAGATAGTATCGAACTGTAAAGTTATAAATAAATATATTTATATAAATTCGAACCGCTCGTTTTATTTAAAAACGGTACATTATGTTAAATGAGACCAATTGTGTCATAAATTCCTCGGCAGAATGTAGTAGGATCTGGATATTGAAAGAGGAAGTTATTAAAAAGAAAATAACAGTATTAGTAAGTCAGTAAGATGTGGAGGATACATCATTTATGTTTTTTAAATAAAAAACATATAAAATCAGAATTTTGTGTTTATTGAAGGTAAACTAAATGCTCGACCAAATACTTACCATGTCGGGATGGATAGTATTATGAGGTTTTTTTTCCTGGTTTTTCCCTCATAATTTACTATGGAATCACTAACAGGAGAATTTTACTGTCATCATGGCATGTGTTTGTCTTTTTAAAGACGAATTACATGTTACGATTTTTTTTCTGGCTGATATTCTCAAGTTAAAGTTGATTTCATGTAATCGAATGAACTATCTTATAAGTAAAGTCGTCCCAGGAGCGCAACTCAACAATATTGTTTTCAAATTCATCTACTTTAAAATGTATATTAATATATGTCTGAATTGTCAATATAAATGAGTCAGATAAAATTAAATTGTTAGAAGAATTTTTCACTAAGTAACAAAAAAACAAAATTTGTTTAATTTACTAATGTTTGTATTTTGAGAACGATTTTGGCTTTAATTGTGGCTTATTTCCATTTAAATAGTAATTACTTTAAAATGCCACAAGAAAATAGCTTCTCTACTATGGGTCTTTATGTTTTCATTTCGGTTCTTCTTCTAGGTCCAGTTTTTTATATTGGTATTAGCTCTCATTTTAGTTGCGTAATTGAATACACAATGTTTATATTCTTTTTATTTTCAATCGCAGATCGATATTTAGCATCCTATTGGTTTTTTTGATCTCTAGTTTACATCTTATCTTATTGACTTGAATCAATGGTAAGAAAAAATATGAGGAATTGCATGAACAGGGTAGATAAAAAAAGAAAAATGTCTTTGGACATTACCATCACCAAGGAATGCATTACCATCAGAAGACAGGTTATGAGAGCAAGAGGTAGAGTAGAAGTTACCGAAGCTTGCAGAATAGATATAGTAAACAAACCAGGTAAGAAGTAACTGAACAGAAAGATCCGAACTGAGAAGAAGAGGTACTGAAGAGAACTGTGTGACGACTTGGATGAAGACGTTTGGGGTCAGAGGTACAAAATCGTAAAAAACCAGTTCAAGCTATACCCTCTATATAAGATGCCACCGAACAGGATGCTTGAGGTTACCCGACCCCGGCCATTGACATGGAGTGCAATGGGACGGCGAGCTGAGCGAGCTGTACCTTTTACCATAGACGAACTCAACGACGCGTTGAGTTCCTTAAAGACATGAAAGGCTCCAGAAATTGATGGGATACCACCAGAAGCGGTGAAACGCTTTTGAAACACATGAATGTAGTGCTTGAAACTTAGCGATTTCCGTCAAATTGGAAGATCACGAGGCTCGTGCTATTTTCAAAGGGAGGAGACAATTTTCTACCTCAATGCGCAAAAATCAAATATACATTCATTTAGAGAGTGGTAGTTGCTTATTGAGAGCGCTGGGAAATCTAATATGAAAATTTATTATTGAGAGATGATTGTCGTATTTCTTTTCGAAAATATCTATAGCGAGATCAAAATTTTTGACTTCGGGAGAATCGATTAAATTAAGAGGTTTACCACGGAGAGAAGATTTTGGGCTTTTTTGTTAAGAGTGTGGTTTTCTGTAATGAGGGAGGAGAATAGTTGATAAAATGAGAACCATTTTCTATGATCACCATTAATGTTTAGAACAGAAATGAGTGGTAGCCTTACATTTGAATGATTGACGTATTCGTGCTTAGAGGATATCGAAGAAGAAATTTGAACTTTCCATAATTGAGGCAATTTACCGTTAATTCTTGACATAGCAGAGAAGTATTTATTTTCAAATCTCGATTCAGCATGTAAGTCGACATCATCATCAGATTCTATTTGATTGCAGATATCACAACTATTGGTCCAATTTAAAATTCTTGTGATACTCCATTTACACGTTCCCCTTTCTCTCTTTAATAAGTCCATAAACACAGGGGATACCAGACCACCAATATTACGGGAGGAAGTCATCTATGTCATTAAAACCACAAAAGAAGGTAAAGATACTGGATCAGATATTGTGCCCAGCTAATTATTGAAACTCATTGATAAATATGATGTAATGAATATGTTATTGATGTAATCTTTAATCTAATTTATCAGGCTGTCGCAATCCCCAGACAATGGTTGCAATCGACTTTTGAAGCAATTCTCAAAAGTTAAGTACAACAACCTGATCAGATCTCATATCGATAGCTTTAATGAGTCACGCGCGTAATTTTTTTTTAAATACTTCACAGCAGAATTGTTAAGACTGTTGAATATGAAATTAGTGACACAATTTGTTTTTTTTTTCACTTTGTTTACTTTGTTTAGTGTAAATGTGCTACCGCAGATATGCATAAACATAATTCAAAACATGTACGCTTCAACATAAAATGCTTGTAGATATATTAAAAAGCAAAAATATTGACAGTGGCTATATGAGAATTATATCTAATATATGATGAAATCAAAGTTGGCAATCAGAGCATCCGTGATTTTAAAACACAGAGAGGAGTCCTCCAGGGTTGCATGCTGTCTCCACTAATTTTAAATGCCTATAGTAAAGCGGTATTTCAAGAAGCACTCTCAGATGAAATAGAGGGTGTATCTACAATCTTCTTCTCATGGCGCCGTCTCCTTTCGAAGGTTGGCGATCGAAATGGCAATTGTAGTTTTGGAAACTGCTACACGAAAGATTTCTGCAGATGAGCAGTCGAACCATCTCCTTAGGTCTTTCAGCCACGAGTTCTAGCCTCTTTCTACTGATCTTTTGCCTTGTATTTTTCCTTCCAGTTTCATATCTTTCGCCTCTTAACACATGACCCAAGCATTGCATTTTCCTCTCTTTGATTATTCTTAGTCATTCTTTTTGTTTACACATGCGACGAAGTACCTCAATGTTAGTAACTCTTTGTACCCATGGAATTCTCAACATTCGTCTGTATATATACATCTCAAAGGCATCTATTCTTTTTTCTATTTCAGAGTCCATTGTCCATCTTTCACAGCCATACAGTAAGACAGAAAAAACGTAACATCTGATCATTCGGATTCTAAGCTGCAGACTAAGGTCTGATCAGTTCATAAATGTTTTCCTTGCTTGTTCGATTCTAGATAGGATTTGTTTTTTTGGATTACACTGACTATTGATATTTACCCCCAAATTAACCTGTTCTATTATTTGACCCTTGGCATACATATGTACGTTTATTGGTGTCTTTGAAAATACTAAAGTTTTAGTTTTGGAAATGTTTAGATGTAAACCGAACATTTCGCTGTGATGAACTACCACATTTATTATATTTTGTAGTTCTTGTGCGTTGCTTGCTATTAAGACGGTATCATCAGCATATCTGATGTTGTCTATGCTGATTACGTTAATCTTAATTCCGCCTTGGACCTCGTCTAATGCTTCTCTGAATATAGACTCCGAATACAAAATAAACAGTAGCGATGATAAGACGCAACCCTGTCTGAGATAATTCGCAAGTCTTGTTCGTCAACTCCAGTTGTTCTCAGAATTTCGATCATCTTTTGGTAGTTAATGTAGTCACATGCTTTTCGATGGTCAATAAAACATGCATATACATCTAAATTCATGTCTCTGCATCGTTGCGTTAACACATTTAAAGAAAAAAGAGCCTCTCGTGTTTCCTATTCGTGTGTAAATCCGAATTGAGTGTCACTCATCTGGAACTCGCACTTCTTGTAAATTCGTGTATGGATAATTCTGAGACAAGATTTAAGGACATGAGACATCAAGCTTAATATTCGATAATCATCGCATTGTGAGGAATTGGATTTTTTTGGTAATGCTACGAATGTTGATTTTAGCCAGTCTGTTGGTATTTTACCTGTGTCGTATATCTCATTGAATAGTGCTGTTATTAAGTCTAGGCTTTTACTTTCCTTATCTGCAATTAGTTTTAATATTTCGACATTGATATTGTCTGGACCGGTGGCTTTTTCATCTTTCTGATATTTTACTGCATGAATCACTTCTTCTTTGGATATTTCTGGGCCTTTTTTATTTATTCATTTCATTTATTGTATGTCTTCTTTCCATCTCTCTAGTTTGTCTTCTGTACCCTAATTATTTCGTTATTATCATTTTTTAATATTGTTGCTCATCTCTTTTTGTGTCTACCTGTCATTTCTTTTACTTTTTTATGAATATTAAAGGTGTCGTATTTTCCTGAAGTTGTTCGATTTCTAGGCATTTTGTTGACATCCAGTTTTATTTCGCCCATCTGCACTTTTTTTCTAATGATTTTATTGATTCGCTTGTATTCTATTGCGCTTGTTTTATGTTTTCGTCTTACGTCCATGAGGTCCATGATCTCTTGCGTTATTCATTCTTATTTGTTGTTGTGTTTTATGAACCCGATGTCTTCTTCTTGTATATATGTTATGTTTGTTTTTAGAGCAGTCCATATTACTTCAATGTCTGTCTGTACCAAGTTTTCGATCGTTTTTATTTCTTCCTCAAGCTTGATACTTATTCTACAATGGAGGATGTATTTCCACGTAAAGGTGCAAATTATGTTCTACCAATTAGTTAAAAAAATTTTAATGTGTGTAAGTCTGACAACATAAAAAATATTTTAACAATTTTACCAGGCGAATGTATTAACTTAATTCCATTGTATAAGTAACTTCTTTAAGAGTACCATAGAAACATAGAGCTTGTTTGTAAGTTTAATATTTTTAAGTTGGGCTTACATGTATAGTCTTTTGTTATAAGCTATTGTTAAGTTTTATTAATTTTCTTCTCAGGTGGAATACCAGAAATCATCGAAGCTTCTAAAAATGTTAAGACCGTCGAAAAACAGAATCTAAGATTACCTTGTAAAACCTTTGGCTCGTCTAAGCCTACAATACGATGGTTTCGGGACGGAATTGAACTTACTAAAGGTAACTTCCAGATTCAACCAAACGGTACTTTGTTGATTAAAGATGTACATTTTGAAGACAGTGGTAATTACACCTGCTATGCAGCTAACAAGTTCGGAAACACAAGCGCCGTTAGCCAAGTTGAGGTTAAAGGTAAGGTATTCGAAATTTAAATATTCAATAGTTCGTTTTATCATACATCTCAAAACTCACACAAGAAGTAATTTTGATAAAACATTTAGGATGTTGTTTATAAGTGTAATTTTTTAATTCCCTCAAAAAATCCTTCTCCTTTTCTTCTTAATCTTGCTCGAAATCTTCATCTGAATCTTTTATCTGCTAAACGAAAGATAGTTGCCTTCAACTATCTTTCGTTTCCTACCTCTTTTTTTTATAGTTACCTATATGTCAAAAATATCCTAGTAAATGTTGGTTGATAGTTATGGAGGGTTTAGTACACCAGTCTAGAAAATAAATAGGTGAAAAAATACGTTTTTTAAAACCAAAAAAAATTTTAAAATTTTTCAGTGCGCTCCAATTTAAAGTTCTAATCTCAAAATCTGGCAAGCTCCAAACTTGTTCCTCCATCACTCAGTATTTTCAGAGTCCGCGCAAGAGCCGTCACTTTAAAATCGTATAAATTAGATACTTATTAATTGCATAAAACAAATATAGGTATTCATTGACAATATGCCAAAAATTTCAACTTTTAATATTCATAAACAAAGGATGTATATGTTTTTTAATTACTAAGATTCTATTTTAAATTACTAAATTCATCGTAAAAGGTTCTTGTTTTTTGTTGATGAGTTTTTTGGTTCACCTAATTAGAAAGATATAGGGGAAAGGCGGGTAAAATGGCATAGACGGGCAAAATGGTTTTTTGTTCTCGTAGTCAAGCTAACGGTTCTACGTCACCGCAATTCTGGATACTTATTATAAACAGTGGCAACATTGTCCACATTAAAAATCGATTCACACACATCAGTCCCGTCATAGTCTCGGCGCCGAACCGGTCCTGTTTGGTCACAGAACTATCAACTATCTGACAGCTGGGAAACTGTTTGTCAACTGATGAGTGTGAATGCCGGCAACATATTTGTATTAAAGAATATTTTGTATGACGGATTGTTCGGTTCGACGCAATCACTGTGACGAGACGTGACTGATGTGTCTGAATCGACCTTAAGTCTCGTGCACCTAATTTAACGGCCGGCCACGAGATTGGTGTATTTGTGAATAAGTGCTGGTCGAGTTCGATGCGTCAATGTAAGTTTTATTAAATAATTTATTAAATTAAGGTTATAGAGCTTTTTGAATTCACTTTTTGGTAATTATGTTTTATACGCTGCATGTGATCTTAAATAAAAATTGTGTTTATTTCCATTATTAATTTTTTTCAACTATCAGTAGTCGGCAAATACAAAACGGGCAAAATGGCATAGCATTATGGCGGGCAAAATAACATACTATGCCATTTTGCCCGTCTGTTTTTCAGGTACATATTCAGTTTTTTTTGCAGATGGTTTATTCATATAAAAGGAAGTCTAACAGAAATAGTTGGAGTGAGGAAGACGTGCAAAGAGCTTTGGAGGCAGTCCGAAATTCCGAAATGGGTTGGCTTAAAGCAAGCAATACGTTTTATGTACCGTTCTCAACACTACGACGTCGAGCAGGTAATAAAAATAAAATTGCCAATGAAGCAAAAAAACATTTGGGCTCCCTGGCAACAGTTTTAAACGAAGATATGGAAACTGCAATAGTTGCCCACATTCTGTATCTTGAATCCCGGTTTTTTGGCGTGACAAGAGCAGACTTATGCAAGCTAGCCTATATCATTGCAGAGAAAATGAAGATTAATCATCCGTTCAATAAAGTGACCAAGATGGCTGACAAAGGATGGTTGCATGGTTTTCGCCAACGAAATCCGCAATTATCATTACGTCTTCCAGAAGCTACGTCTCTTGCACGGGCCGAGGCATTCAATAAGCCTCAGGTAAATAAATTTTTTGATAAGTTAGAATAAGTTGTTGAAGAACACAAAATTCAAAATACCATGATATTCAACATGGACGAATCAGCCTTGACCACCGTCCAAGTTCCGCCAAAAGTCTTTGCTCAGAAAGGAAAAAAACAAGTGGGCTCTATCAGGAGCGCAGAAAGGGGTGTACACACAACAGTTGTAGTGTGCATGAGTTCTATAGGAACTTACGTGCCACCATCAATAATTTTCCCCCGAAAAAGATTTAACCCACTTTTATATGACGGCGCACCTGTAGGAATATTAAAATTGCATAATGAATCAGGATACATGACCGGAGATTTGTTTATAAGGTGGATGCAACATTTCATTGACCATGTCAGGCCGAATCCTGCGCAGAAAGCATTATTAATTTTAGACGGACACTCCAGCCATAAAAGCTACGAAGCTTTAGAATTAGCTAAACAGAATTCAGTGGTATTACTTTGCCTGCCGGCACACTGCACGCACCGCCTTCAGCCATTGGATGTTGCCTTTTTCGGACCACTCTATAAATATTATAATCAAGCTGTTACTCATTGGCTCAGAGAAAATCCTGGTCGTGCAATAACCATATATCAAGTGTCCAGTCTCTTTCAGAAAGCATATGAGAAAACAACAAATACTGAGATCGCAATAAATGGTTTTCGGGCCACAGAAATATCACCTATAAATCGTGACATTTTTCCGGAGCATGCATTTTTGCCTAGTGCAACTATAGATGTGCCTGGTTCTACTAATAAACCTGACATTGCTTCTACATCTTTACCTGCTGATGTTAATGTTCCTCACGCTGCAACTCACGATCATCATGATGTCCAAGAACCATCGGCACCTGGTTCGAAAGATGAATCTATTGAAGGGATCCTGATTAAATTGGCACCGGTACCTCAGAGTAATGTAAGAAAATCTACCAAACGTAAATCTGGTCAATACCAAGATGTATTAACCGAGAGCCCCTTCCTGAAATATCTCTGCGAAAAAGAAAATGAAAAAAAAGCACAAGAAATAAAAAGCAGAAAAGGGGACGCTGTGAAAAGAAAAATAGTCAATGATTTAAGTAATGGAAGACGCATTGTGAACAAATATAGACATCAGTCGGAGAGAAAAGGCAAGAGAAATAGTGTGACCAGATCAATACTGAACAATATATCAAGTGATGAAGAAGAACCCTTTAGTATTGATGATGATAAACAAGAGGACTGGGCTTGCATTTACTGCAATGATATGTTTAGTAGGTCCAAATCTAATGAAGGATGGTTAAGATGCCAAATTTGCCAAAACTGGTCACATTCAGAATGGACTTCCCAAAAAAGCAAAACAATTTATTTGCGAACTTTATATGAACTAAAATGTTTAATTTCAATTTTTTTTCTTCGTAAAAACAAAAATTTATAATTATTTTTGTATTTAACACTATTGTTTATGTGTATGCCATTTTGCCCGCACTGTGCGGGCAAAATGGTTTTTTGTTACATTTTGATTTTGATTTTTTTTTTAAATAAATCTCTTTGTATGAGTGATTTTTTGTTACTTAGAATAGTAGAAAAATGACCTGGCTATTATTATACATAAAAAGGAATGATTTATCTCTATTTATGTCTCAGATATATGGAAAATAAACTAAGTATGCCATCTTGCCCGCTCTTCCCCTACCATAAAAAATTACAAAGAATTTATATTGGAAAATTTGTTTGCAAATACTATTTGTTTATTAGCAAAAAAACATAACTTTTTAAAGGCTAATTTAAAGATATTTCTTGCAAGAATAATGTGTTTTTTCAATTTTCCTTGTAATTTTAATATTCAAAAATTCATTGTTCTTTGTTAAATAATTGTAGAAGCATACATAATAGCCTTATTATCAAGGTGTTATAATAATATATCACACAGCCATTATCGCAAAAATTATTGACATTTACACAAAAATGCAGAAAATGTTTTTTGTAATTACCTCGGCATATTATGTTGTTTGTGTTTCTTTCGATGACCATTACCTTGGTTCTTCTATGTTTATTTTCAAACCATATTCCGTATTCACCGTACCCAATTTACTTATAATTTGTTCCAGTTCTTCTGTTGAAGACGCCAATGCAACCGTGTCATCAGCATATCATAGGTTTTTGATTTTTTTTCCTCATATTGTTGCTCCACCTTGTTATTCTTTAAAAAGTTGACGCATAATGTATTCACTGTATACATTAAATAGAATAGAGTATATTATACATCCCTGCCGAACTCCAGATTGCAATTTGAAGTTTTTCTAATGTACGCTATTAACTCTACGCTTACATTGACGGTACTCTTTACATACAGTCCCTACCTAGTACGAATTCACATTGTTTTTGAGGAATCTGTGGTAAGAGAATTAATTGTACTCTTTCATTGATGATGGCATTGAAGAGTACATCACTGTAAGCAACAGATTGATCCAAGCACATTTTCATTCTTGCTTGCTCATGGATTTTGCTTAATTTTGTGAAGCAATTGGTATTTGTTGATATGCGATGGGTGGACAATTGCATGACTGAATTAAGGTTAACCCGACTATTCACTTTTCGCAAAAAAATGATCCAAGCACGTTTTCATTCCTGTTTACTCCTGGACTTTCTGAAGTTTCACATGCTACAATATTAACGATTGCCATTAACTCATCAAGATTAACATAAACTTTGCCAAAAATTTTGCTTTGATTTTTTATTTCAAAATCCATTCAATAAACAATTCTTACTGTTCATCTTCAGCAGGTGTTTTTCCTGATTTAATGGTAAGTATTTCGTGAAAATACATAGAGAGCTTCTTAGAATTCTTAAATATGGCAAATTGTTGTCCCTACAATATACTACTTCAATGTTGTGTTTTCAACAACTTGTTCATCATGTTTGATTTAATTAAACAGTATCAATGGCAAATTTTGAGTGAAATTTTGTACAATTAATAATCATATTTTTAGCACGGACCTATATTTATAAAGGTCCAAAAGACACTGAGGCAGTTACAGGATCTTCAGTTACATTACAGTGCAGTGCCATAGCTGACAACGAGCTTCACTTGGAAATTATTTGGTTAAACAATAACGAACCTTTAGATTTTGAAAAGGAACCTAGATTTATAAAGTCCCCTGATAATTCCTTGATCATATTGAAAGTTATAGATTTGGATTCTGGAATTTACAAATGCCTAGCTCGAACTGAACTGGATGAAGCTTCAGCCGAAGCTTTTCTTATAGTGCAAGATGTTCCAAATCCACCAATAATCGAATCAGTGGAATGTTACTCCAGAAAGGCTACCATAACCTGGCAACAAGTTGGTGATAATCGTTCTCCAATATTATATTTCATTATACAATATAGTACTAAGTTTTCACCAGACACGTGGAAAGATATTAGTCGAGCTTCTGCTTGGGATTCTTCTGGGTCAATTTCATTGGCACCTTGGAATCAATATACGTTTAGGATACTAGCAGTTAATAAAGTAGGACCATCTAAGCCTTCTGTACATAGTAGGGACGTATGTATAACACCACCTGAGGTAAGTACCACACCGGTTTATTTTTTTGTATTAACGAGACAATTAGTAGCTAAAAATTTCTCGTTTTCCTAAAAAACGTCGGTGAACACATTTATGGTGGTAAGTGTTTAAAACGCCAGTATTAATATTTAAATTGTTGTTGATGACAGCGGGAAAAACGTAAGCACGTAGGGCGATAATCGGTATCTTTGTAAAGCTGCTGTAAGTCATTTTGGTTGGGATGTGAGAGAAGATATAGGACACAAAAGATCAATACCACAATAACCTTACCATTTCCATAACAAGGACATGGTAAGATTATTGTGGTATTGGTCTTGTGTGTGATGCGATGGTGTTTTTGAATTGTAATATGTACGAAGTGTGTGTGGTATAGGAAGTATTAGTGTTTTAGAGTCGTGTGTCGTGGAAGCGGCTGGACCTTATTGAATTAGTTGTTAGATGAGGGCTGTTTTTTTTTGTTCTAACGATCCACTCGTGAGGAATGTTTTGTAAGTTGTATGGGTGCCATTTCTAATCCGAGTTGGATACCTAGTGATGACAACTATCTGTAATCGAGAATCAAAATTGTACACAGTAAATTCTTGGAAGTAATAGTGACGTTTCAGCACTATTGTAAGTCTTCCAATGGCGTATAAAAAATTTCATAAAAAGTTACGATAAAGCTACTGGAAGAGCGTGTGTGAAGTATTTTGAGAATTTCACGTATCAATTTGTTAAATAAACACTATAAACAACAAACTAACTGTACAATAATAACTTAAATATATAATTTAAAAATGTCTTCATCCAAGCGGGGTTGTCGTCATTGTCGTCTTGACTTCTCTTCTCCCTGGGGGAACCCCCCTATCTCCGTGGAACGCGTTCGGTTCGATCGGGGTAGATCGTGACGCAGGCGCACAATTAGTCGGATTTAAACTGTGATGTGCGCGAGCAGGTCCGTACTTAACAGCTACATGTATTGAAGGAATACCTATTTATAATATGTATCACTTTAATGTAAAAATATGATTATTATTGAAGTTTGGGTTAGACAATAAATAATTTTAGGTTATTAAGTAATAAATAAACCTCCCTAAATACTGCGATCGTCGATGAAAGCCGTAGTAACCGTAGTAACCGTTGTAACTCAGTGATTCAATTGTTTTGGTATCAAAGTAAACAGGACATAATTCACATTACCGCATTGTAAATATTTTACATTTTTACAAGACAGAAAGTCGTCAAATTTTATTAAATCTTTCGGTGCGAGATAAAATTCATTGCCAATGTTTATAGACACTTATAATATTCTTCCGCATTGTAAGAGTTTTGAGTAGATAATTGGAGTTTATAATGCTCTCTTAATACCAAATAAAATGCATATTAAGTGGTTCATATATTACTTTTTCTAGAGGTGAAGTTAATTTAAAAAATTTTTTGTAGGTTCCCAACAAAAATCCTGAGTTAGTAAATGGACACGGAACAAAACCGGATAATTTGGTAATTAGTTGGAATCCATTACCCAAAACAGAACACGCAGGGCCTGGGTTTAAGTACCGTGTTTGTTTCAAGCAAAATATAGATGGAGCTACTTACGAATGTACAGATATAAATAATGATTCTCAAAACACCTATACAGTTTCCAATCAACCATCATTTCAGCAGTACAAAATCAAAGTTATAGCATCTAATGATATTGGTGACGCAAAAGCCGAGCCTATTGAAGTAATTGGATACTCAGGAGAATCAAAACCTCTAGAAGCTCCTACAAATTTTACCCTACTTCTAGTTCCTGATGGGAGAACAGGCTTATTTAGTTGGAATCCTATATCCGAAGAATCATTTCGGGGTCATATTTTAGGTTACAAAATAGAATTTTGGAGCGATGTGTCAAATTTGCATAAGGAAATTAAAGTTGGTAACTCATCAAAAGCATTAATCAACTCACTCGATCCCTACACTAGGAATTACGCAAGAATTTATGCCTTCAATGGTGTATACAATGGACCTTCTAGCGCAATACTCTCATTTAATATGCCGGAAGGAAAGCCTGGTGTAATTGAAAATTTAGAAGCATACCCACTAGGGTCAACCAGTTTTCTTATAAAATGGAGACCTCCGAATAGGCCTAATGGCATACTAAGAGGCTATGTAGTATCTTGGGCAAAAATTGATGCCTACAGAATAGATAGGTTGAACACAACAACCATTTTAGATCCTAATATAACATCAACCAAACTGACAAATCTTCTGCCTGACACGAGGTATAGAATATACGTATCATCTACCACAAACGCTGGAGAGTCTCAAGAGTTTTTCATAGAGAGGACAACAAGTCAAGTTCAAAGTATTAAACCATCGAAACCATCATTTACATGGATGCTCATTCAAAGAAATTCTGGAGTAACTGCTAGAATTCGCTGGCTTCCAGCTATGGATGGAAATGGAGGAGCAAATTTCATAGCAAAGTGTAGAAAGAAATATGATTCTGCATGGATCGAATCAATAGTTGAAACTACAAGAGACTGGACTGATGTAAATAATTTAACCGGTTCAGATGTATATGAATGCCTAGTTAGTTCTTTAGATGAGAAATCAGTGTATAGAACAGATAGTGACATTCAAGAAATCGATATAAGAAAAGAGAGGAGTCAGCATAAAATAATTAATGAACAAGAAATCTCCAGTGACGACAACAATGGAATAATGCATAAGTATGTAGTTAAATAAACAACATGTATTGTTTATACGTTTTCCCACAATTTCTAAATTAATCTTTTTTTGAATACAATTTCCGGAGTGCAGATCGAAACGCCAAACATTAGTTTGGCGTTTCGTTAAAAATGTAATTTTCATGTAATTTTCATAATATTCAGTAATGCCTTAGGCCCATATAAACATAATATTTAACTTATTAAGCTTAGAATGCAGTGGGTCGGGATGGTACGGTCGGACGGTGCGCACGGAATTTTTCAAAAAATCCATCCGCACTTTTCGCCGTTCTTGAAAAGTCCCTAAAGAAAAATTTTCAGGACATCTCGACATAACGTACCGATGACTCATGATATGTTGTGATAGAGCACACAGTCACCAAACACGTTCGATGACACAATAATCGGTACGGACTTTCCACCGTTTCAGTTAAATTGTTCAAGTGATTGATATGTTCAATTTCTTTCGAAAAACGTTCCCAGTGATCATTTTTTATTTTCCTTAAAAGTGCATGTGTTACGTGTCTAATTGTTTCGTAATTATGGTATGCCTCTTGTGTTTTGGTTGACATGTATTTAAGGTAAACTTTTTTCTTTTCTCATTCTTTTCTTCTCACATGATTTTTATGGTTTGCAAAAGGAAATATGGCGCTTCATAAGAGGTCAAAGAACGGAGGTAAAGGAACTTCTTCTTCTTAAAGTGCCCTCTTCTCAATGGAGGTTCTCTATTCTCTATCTTCAGCTGTTCTTATTAGCTGTTCAAAATTTAGCCCTGTCCATTGTCGGATGTTTCTGAGCCACGATAGTCTTTTCCTTCCTAGGCCTCTCTTTCCCTCGATTTTTCCTTTCACTATAAAATGGGCATATTGGTACTTATTATTTCTCAGTATGTGGCCTAGGTATGATGTGTTTCTAACTTTTACTGTGTTAAAAAGTTCTCTTTCCTTGCCTATTCTATGCAGCACTTCTTCGTTTGAGGTATGCGATGTCCATGAAATTTTGAGTATTCTCCGGTAGATCCACATTTCAAAGGCCTCCAATTTATTTACGGTTGATGTTTTAAGGGTCCACGTTTCAACTGCATATAGAAGAGTCGACCAGACGTAGCATTTTGATAAACGTAGTCGAATTTCGAGTTTTATTCGAGAATCACAAAGCAGTTTTTTTATTTTTTCGAAAGATTTTCTGGCCTGTTCTATTCTCGATCTTATTTCTTGATCAGGATTTAGGCTGCTATCGATCCAACATCCCAGGTACTTAAATCTATTGACCTGTTCTAAGATGTGCCCATTTATTGTGCAAGGTTGAGGTACGTTTTGGTTTTTTCGGATTGACATCACTTTGGTTTTTTTAATGTTTATTTTCATACCAAATTGCTCACAGGTCGAGTTGGTCTTGTCGATGAGTCGTTGTAGACCTGAGTCGGAATCCGCAATTAACACTGTATCATCGGCGTATCTGATACTGTTGATATTTACGCCATTCACATTGACTCCATCCTTGGAATCCTCCAATGCTTCTTTAAATAGAAACTCGGAGTAAAGATTAAACAGCAGAGGCGACAGAACACATCCTTGTCTAACTCCCCTCCAAATTTCTACTTCTGCGGATGTGGAACCTTCGATCCTAACTCTGGCGTTTTGGTTCCAGTAAAAGTTTTTTAAGAATTTGATGTCTTTTCCATCAAAACCGAGTTCTTGCAAACGCTCTAATAGTAGGTCGTGTCTTACTCTATCAAATGCTTTTTCGAAGTCTATAAAGCATATAAATATATCTTTCTGTTGGTCGTAGCATTTTTGGGCGAGAACTAGTAAACTGAACAGGGCTTCTCTCGTTCCCATGCCGGCTCTGAATCCAAACTGATCGTCTCCGATGATTGTTTCGCACTTTCTATAGTATGTACGATGTAGATTATGTACGATTTTTAGTAGAACTTTTACTGCATGACTCATAAGGCTTATCAGACGGAACTCATTGCAGTGTTGTGGGTTTGGCTTTTTTGGTAGTGGGATGAATATTGACTCCAGCCAATCTTGGGGTATTTTACCTGTATCATAAATGCGATTGAATAAAAGGACAAATATTTCGATATTTTCTTCGCTGATTAATTTGAACGTTTCTGGGTATATTCCGTCTGGACCTGGGCTTTTATTTGTTTTGAGATGATTAATTGCATTTATGATTTCAGATTTCAGAATTGTTGGACCTTCGTTGTTATTTTCCAATCTTGGTTCTTCTCGTATGTCGTGAAAAAGAATTTTAATACCTATAGTTTTCCCATTCTTTCAGTTTATCTTCCGTTGATTCTAGCAGTTTGTCATCCGTGTTCAGCATGCTGTGAAAAGTCGTTCTCTTGGTAGTCGATGTAAACTCTTTTACCTTTTTATGTAAATTAAAAAAATCGTGCCTTTGTTGCAGTTCTTCTATTTCAACGCATTTTGTTTCCAGCCATTTCTCTTTTGCTTCGGTTATTTTTTTTTTTTCGAATTATTCTGTTTAGTCTTTTGTATTCTCCGTCCTTGTCATTTTTTCCTTTAGATTCTGTTCGTTTGTTCATTAATTGTAAAATCTCTTCTGTCATCCATTCCTGTTTGTTATTTCTAGGTGTTACTTTTAGATGTTTTCCGTTACATTGTTCATTTGTTCTTTAATAGTTTTCCACAAAACGTTTATGTCATCGTACTCGCTAATTCTATTGTGGTCGATATTTCCTAAATTTTTATTTAATTCTTTATTTACTGTCTGATGTATGGTGTCGTTTTTTCAATAATTGGATGTCTAATAGTTGGTGTTGAGGTTTTTGTTTCTTTATTAGTTTCCATCTTGCGCGAACTTTTGCAACAACAGGATTATGATCGGAATTGATGTCAGTTCCAGGATATGTTTTTCCACCGATGATTGCATTGTGATATCTTTTATTGACCAATATGTAATCTATTTGGTTACGGATTACTCTGTTTTCATTGTGTGGTGGTGAAGTCCAAGTGTACAATCTGCGAGGGTGTAATTTAAACCATGTATTTGTCGCTACCATGTTGTGTTGTTGGCAGAATTCGGTCATTCTCTCTCCCCTGTCGTTCCTTGTTCGAAGTCCGAAGTCTCCGATCAATCCAGAAACTTTTCCTCTACCTAACTTAGCATTAAAGTCACCTAAGATAAATGTTAGGTCTCGTTTTTTGGTCATCTTTATAAGTTTTTCTACGTCAGCATACCACGCTTCTAGCTCTTCTATGGGTTTATCGGCCGTAGGGGCATAAGTTTGAATGATATTAATATTTACTGGCTTTCCGGATAGTTGAATAAGAAGACATCGGTCCGAAAATGGCACAAAGTTTGTGACGGCATTGTTATATTTGTCTTCTAAAAGGCTTACTTCTCTTAACTCTTCTTACTCTTCTTACTCCAACCCCGTTACGAGGAACCGAATCGTTATTACCCGAGTAATAGAAAGTTTTGTTCATGGTTTTAACTTTATCTGAACCTGGCCATCTAACTTCACTCAAACCCAATATCTGCAACCCTAAACGTTTCATTTCGTGGCATGCATTTGCTAGTTTTTCTGTTTCGAACAGACTTCTAACGTTCCAGGTTGGAAAGGAACATGTAAAGGAACTAATAGAACCAAAACATATTGAAAGGTTTGACATACAGAATTGACTACCTAAAAAAAGGAAGAATAAACGATGCCAGAACCGAAAACACCAGAAATTACCACAAATGAAGAACTTATATAAATGTACAGGAAGTTCGAAAAATACTTAAAAACCTGAAGAACAGAAAAGCTTCAGGTAAAGACGGGATACCAAATGCATTTCTAGAATATTGTGGAGCAGCAATGACAGAACAATTAACAACATTAATTAATAAAATTATAAAACACAATATTATAAACACAATACCGGAAGAATGGAGAACGAGCGAACTATTTGTACTATTCAAAAAAGGAGGTATAAACTTGTTAAATACTACGCCAAAACTTACAACTACAATTTTACAAGTGCTAATAAATGAGAGGACAAGTTTACCAAATGAACAACAGGGTTTCCGTAGTGGAAGATCGTGTACAGATGCAATATTCGTTATAAAGCAAATTACTGAGAAATAAATCACTAAAGTATAATAGACCAGCATTTCTGTGACCTAAAGAAAGCGTTTGACAGAGTAAGACTCAAAGATGTAATCCATATTCTGTATAATAGAGAAGTTTCCCTAAATATTATAAAAATTATCGAAAACATCTACCAAAACAACAAAATGGAAGTCAGAATAGATGAACTTACAGAACCTATAGAAATAGGCAGCGTAATAAGACAAGGGGGCTTATTGAGCCCATACTCTTCAATTTGGTCATGGATGAAATCATCAAAAGCGTTAACGAAGGAAGAGGATACAGAATGAGAAACAAAGAAATAAAAATACTCTGTTACGCAGACGACGCAATATTGATAGCCCAAGATGAATATAGTCTGCAAAGACTGGTCCACAGATTTAACATAAGAGCAAAAGAATTAATATGGCATCTCATAAAACTAAAACACTAGTAATCAGCAAAGAACTAACCAGATGTCAAATAGAAATTAATGGCATCAGTATTAAACAAGTAATGAAAATAAAATACCTGGGAATTACACTGTCTAGCTATAGAGACCTGATCAAAGAAGTGAGAGATCAAGTACAAAAAGCAAATAGACTGGCAAGATGCCTTAATAACACTACTGAAAGGCCTATAATGACATATGCCTCAGAAACAAGACCTGACACAGCCACAACGCAAAGGCGACTGTAAACGGGTAAGATGAGAGTGCTGAGACGAATTACAGGCAATACGCAATAGAGATCGAAAGAGAAGTGAAGACATTAGAAGAAAATGTAACGTACAGTGTATAAATGAATGGATTAACCACATAAGCAGAATGTAGGGGAACTTTTGTCGTCAAAATAGCAAGAGATAAGTCACAATTGGTAGAAGAAGTATCGGACGACAGCGCCATATTAATCCACCA